CACCAGGTGGGGGCCCTGTGCAAGTGGGACCTGGCTGGCTTGCTGGGTGAGGGACACAAAGCAGCTTAGTTAGAATGCAGGAAGGTGCGAAGGAAGAGGACAGGGACCAGGAGCATGGTGGGAGGCAGCCAGGGAGAACTGGACAAACAGGGCCTCCTGACAAGTGTGGGGGACCTGGAACAGGGAGGAGTGAGCGTAGAGCACACACTGGATGCCCTGAGGGAGCAGGGCCAGGGCTGTGGAGATGCGGACACAACACTGCTGTCATTACAGCATAGCTTTCATAAGCAGCTAAAAGCATCTTCAAAGACAAGTTGCTACTCCATAATTTTTTATTTAAAGATTGATTCTATTTAGTCAAAAGTCAGAGCTACAGAGGAAAAGAAAAAGAAAGAGAATGATCTCTCATCTGCTGGTTTTCTCTCCAAAAGGCTGCAACGTTGGGAACAGGCCAGGCCGGAGCCAGAGCTCCGCCCAGGGTTCCCATGGGTGGGCCAGGGACCCAAGTAATTGGGCCACTTTCTGCTGCTTTCAAGGTGCCTTTGCAGGGGGCGGGATTGGAGGCAGAGCAGCCGGGACTTGAACCACAACCACTATAGTGGGTGCCAGTGTTACCTAACACTGTGACATAATGCTAGCCCCAACTTCTTATTATTCTAGTTTTGCTGTTTAAATTTCTGAGCTGTAGCTTTTATTAAACTGTCCTTTACAACTTATAACTAAGATGCACATTCCTTGGACCACTCTAAAATGAAATCTCAGTTCTCTAAACTAGCTTCAAAGTGCATCTACGAGGTAATATCAGGGTATAATCAAGACCCATGAGGAGGCTGGATTTGCCCAGGGACAGGTGTGTACGTCTCACGAGGCCCACTCGAAGACAAGGCCATGTGGGTGTTACTAACTCCTCCAAATAAACCCAGGATGCAAACATATTTGTCTGATACACAATACAGTGAGTGATCCAGGGCAAGCTTGGGTGTGAATGCTCTGCCGAGACTGTGGCTGGCTGGGAGACTTCTGAAAAATATACATGTCCCAGACCCACAGGCATGACCTGGGCATTTTTCTTTTTTAAAGATTTATGTATTTTTATTGGAAAGTCAGATTTACAGAGAGACAGGACATCTTCTGCTTTCCCAGGCCATTAGCAGGAGCTGGATTGGAAGTGGAGCAGACAGGACTCAAATCTGCACACACATGGGATGCTGGCACCATAGAAAGAAGCTTAACCATACTGGCTCTGTTGGGAAAACTTAATTGGCTTAAAAAAAGATTTATTTATTTTTATAGCAAAGTCAGATATACAGAGAGGAGAGACAGAAAGGAAGATCTTCCATCCATTGATTCACTCCCAAGCAGCAGCAACAGCTGGAACTGCACCAATCTGGAGCCTCTTCCAGGTCTCTGACACGGGTACAGGGTCCCAAGGTTTTGGGCTGTCCTTGACAGCCAAGGCTACAAGCAGGGAGCTGGATGGGAAGTGGAGCTGCTAGGATGGGAAGTGGTAGCTGCTAGGCTACCATGCTGGGCCCTAGTTGGCTTTTAACAGCATGTGTTTGTTGCATTTTATTACTGGAATTATAACACTTGCCTGATCATGGAATGTGAAGGGTTACCATCTTCCCTCTTGTTGATTTTTCTTTATCATGCGATATACTTTTTATTGAGACTTGGATTTTTTTGAGGGTACTTCACAATGTTTGGAAAAATGGAATTAAAGGATATTTTTTGGTGTAAAACTTTTTTTGAAGTCTGTAGTTTTCTTGTAATATGCATTTTCCAGGAACTTACTGAAAACCTTCTATGGTTTTTTGCTGCTTAGGAACATGCTCATATGTGAACAGATTTTTTTCTGTAGCCCTTAAGAATTTTCCTTTTTGTTTTGAGCTGCAGAAAGAGCAAGTGAGTGTCCGTCCTCCAAACAGCTACATATGTGACTTCATTAAAAAAAAGTATGTTAGCTTATTCCTACTTCAAAAGCCTCTCCTGGCGGCTGGCTGTTGCAGCACAGCTAGTTAAGCTGCCACCTGCCACACTAGCATCCAGAGGAACACTGGTCCAACTCCCAGCTGCGCTGCTTCCCTGCTGATTTGCCTGGGAAGGCAGTGGAAGATGGCCCAAGTACTGCGGCTCCTGCAGCTAAGGAGAAAACCCAGATGGAGAACAGATGGTCTCTCTCCTTATGTCACCTGGCCTTTGAAACAAACAAGGCAATAGCAACAAGCCCTCTGATAGCTTCCCACTGCAGTCAGTGTAGCACCTTTTCTAGTTCAGGCTCCTGGCCTGAGCCTCCCACACTCCCTCGGTCCCTCCCTCGTCAAGCAGGGGCAGCTGCTGCTTTTCCTCCCTCACACTTGGTCAGCTTGCTGCTTCTTCCTTCAGAAGGCTGAGCCTCGGGTTTTCCCCCAATGGGGTTGAAACCTCCCCTCCCCCACCGCAAGAGCCGGTGGAGAGACCTGGAATGCCTAGTGGAAGTGTGTTAGCATGCTGGCAGTCCCCTGCGTTTGTGCCAGCGCACCCTGACTGCTCCTGTTGACACTTGAGTTCTTTCAAAGCGGCAGGGAGGCTTAAGCAGAGCTGACTTCATGTAGCCTTCGTGGGCAGCCAGTTCAGGAAACCAGTAGGAAGCCTGGCATTAGCATAGTTAGATTTTGCTACTTTGTCACAATGTGCTTTCGGTTTTCCTAACAGCAGAGCACAGTTACACTCCATATGGCACCAAGAACTTTTTTTTTAAAGAAAAATTTCAAAACTATAGTCTTATCAAATCTGATACACTACTGAATATGGATTCTTTGAAGAGGCAAAAGATCGAATGTGCTACAGGCGTAACTCCAAGGTAGTGTTTTTGTGTATCTTGAACAGTTATATGTTTTGCAGTCACTTATTGTCAGAAAAACTGCATACTCTTTCTGGGGCCATGGTCATGGAAGCAGAAGCAAAAACAAAACACTTGATCCCAGCAGCCCCACTTTCCATCTTAGTTCCCTGCTTGTGGCCTGGGAAAACAGTGGAAAATGACCCAGAGTCTTGGGACCCTGCATCCACATGGGAGACCCAGAAGAAGCTCCTGGCTCCTGGTTCCAGGTCAGCTTAGCTCCAGCTGTTGCAGGGCTGCTTGGGGAGTGAATCAGCAGACATGGACGGAAGATCTTGGACTCCTGTACCCAAGTAGGGAACCTGGAAGAAGCTCCTGGCTTGGGACCAGCCACCTCTGGCCACTGTGGCTATTTGGGGGGTGAACCAGAGGATGGAAGATCGCTTAACTCTGCCTTCCAAGTGGAAATAAATTTTCAAAAAAAAAAAAAGAGGGGGCTTTATAAAAAAAAATAACAAGGAGAATAATCCAACAAAGCCTAGTCCGATGTATTTTAAAGTTATCCTACATCTGAACACAAATTCCAAACAGCAGCTAAATTTTTAACAGAAAATTCTAATCATTAACAAACAAGGCAACTCTTCAACCATAATTATGTGGATTACTCTGCTCACAACCACAAACTCTACTCAAACACGTGCCAGCTGTCGCGGACCACTGCCCTTCCTCCTCCGATATTCCATCAGCAACTGGCCCTGGTTTGGACTCAGCTGGCTCTCAAGTCAGCTCCCAGAACAAGAACATAAAACCACTACTTTTCTCCCCATTTCCACCCTAAATTCCATTCTTCTGTGTGATAGGCTTAACCCCCAGCCTGATAAGATTACTCACCTAGGACTAAACTGCTGCTTCTCTTCCAGAGGTCAGATCTCTCCCGTGCACTGTGTTCTTGGCACCCACGGCCATCCTCCAGCTCTGCTGGACAACCCCCTTCTGCAGCTAGCCCCGGGGCTGGTGTGAGACTCCAGTGTCCCCGCCCCGCTCCCCACCCTTCCCAGCACAGCTCTCAGGATCTCCCAGCTTGTTCCAGGCCTCTCCCTCCTCCACCTGCTCCTAGCTCTGAAAGCCTCAGGCCAACTCCAGCCGGTCTGGAACAGACAAATCAGCCTTCCCAAAATTACACTCTGGTTCCACCACACCCCTGTTAAATACCTGTTATGTCCACCTCAGGGGCTTTGGGAAAATTGTGTGTGACTGTGTTATATAAACAGGCCAAGTGGGGGACACAGAAGTCACTCTCAGGTTTACTGTGTTGGTGGTGGACTTTAGCAAAGACCTGCACTCACAGCCAGAGGTGTGGCCCCAGGCTTATCAACTGACTAGAAATAGTTTCACCTGCAAGGGTCATCCCTACCCTTTCTCTGAGACTTCCTGGGTTTAAAAACACCATAGGACTTGAATGGTCACGGTGCACAGGCTGGCCTCGGAGCCCTCACACAGACAGCAAGTACCTGCTGATTCTCCCCTGCCAGTCTGGGTGAGCAGCACACACGTACAGCGGTGGCGACCACATCTAAAACCAGTTCCAGGCCTTAAACTTTCGTTTTTCATGTTTGCCATACAGCCATTTCAAATGCTTTTGCCATACTGAAATCAGTATTCATAACCCTTCCAAATCATGTCATTTGACAGTATTTCTATGAAAAACCACCCTAACAGAGGGAAAGGAGGAAATATTTCCTGGGCGCCTACGATAGGCCAGGGCACTGCCCTCAGCTCTGAGGCCTGGGGGCGACGCTGCGTGAGAAGCCTCGTCTCACTCCAGACACCGTGCACGTGCAGTGGCAAACGTCGGCAGAGCCCAGAGCCACGCGGTCAGCACGCCTTTCTGAACTGGCAATAGTGCAGCTGATGAAGGAGAGATGTGACAGATTCCTAGTTTGTATACACTTACATTATGTAGTCAAAACCACAGCAGCTAAAACCACTCATTTTCTACAGAACACTCAGTGAAGTGCAATGATACTAATTAAATCAAGAACACTATAAATGTTTGAACTTGCTTGTTACCACGGCACAAAACGTCAATTCATTATTGTTTGTGGCAGGGTTCCTCTAGCCTATCAACAGGGAAAAGGCACAGCTCCCATCTCTAACACTCCTGACCTGATGGACTTACCCTTTTTCTGTATGAAAATCCTCAGCAGGGGGTTGGCTGTGGAGACCGCCTTGTGATAATTGTCGTCGTTATTGATGGGCAGCAGGTCTCCGTGGATGTCCGCGTAGCCCACCAAGACATCAACGTTAGGAATCTTGTGAACATGTTGCAGTAATCCGTAAAACTCCTCAAACTTTCCAGGTTTTGATCTTTCCAGTGAAAAACGACGAAATTCAGCTCCAAACTAAAAATGTAACATACAGATTAAGGTTTTTAAGTAAAAGTAACAGCACAACTTGAAAATACACTCTGTAGGAAAACTAGCAAACGTCACAGTATGTCCCTGCACAAAGACATTTGACGTTAACAAGAGAAAAACAAAGTGTGTCTGTCCAGATCAGAAACATCACAGCAGATAAGGTCTGAGACAGGGATGGGCATGCCCCCACTGCCTCCAGCCAGCCGGCTTCCTCCGGGAGACACCAGGTCTCCGCAGAACCACTCTGCCTACGACTCAACTCAAACAAACCCTAAAAGCAGCCCAGAGCCTCCTTGGCCAGACCATGGGCTGCTGGAAGGTCAATCGAGTCTTCATCTTGGCCACCAGCATAAGGCCTTTCAAGCCCAGCAATGGAACCATTACTTCACGGGATGTGGCAGGAATAAATTTAAACAACTCACACTTAAGCAAGGCTGCTGAGGTCCTTGGCCCGAAGTAGGAAGCAAATGGGGCAGCTTGTGGCAGACAGTGCTAACCTGCACCTTTCCTCATTAGTACCGCGTGCATGTCCGCACAGCCCCCAATCCACCCAGGCAGCGCCACTGTGCTGGGCCACAGGTAGGCCCCGGAGACTGGAAGGCTCAGGCCTGCTCCAAAGCTCACCAATTAGCGGGCAAAGAGAATTAAAAACAAACAAAGGCCTATGTGTGTTAGTTTGTATGCAGATGCACTAGTTTGTCAAACTTTGTTTTAAGTCCTTGTCAAATAAATTAATAGCAATCATATACCACTATAATGATTTTGTGATTTTTAAAATTTAGCTGAGTGAACGTCTTTCCATTCAATTACTATTACAGCATTTTGCTGGGCCATGCTACAGTCTCTACTTTTTAATCTGTTATATATTTATAAAGCTATCAAGCCTTTAACTATAATGTAAATTTAAAATGTTATCTCAAAAAAATTTTAGAGGCTGGTATTGTGGCATAATGATTTTCACTTCTGATCCAGCTCCCTGCTAAATACACCTGGGAAAGCTTTGGAGGACAGCCAAGTGTTTAGGCCCCCACACCCATGTGGAAGTTCTAGACGAAACTCATGGCGGCTTTGGGCTTCAGCTCAGCCGGGTCCTGGCTGCTGTAGCCATGTGGGGAGTGAACCAGTGACCAGATCTGTCTCTCCATCTCCTACCCCTGTAACTCTTTCAAATGAATAAATCTCTAAAAAAATGTTAAAATGAAAATAAAGGTCATGTTCTTGGGTTTCCAACAGACCATGGGACTCGAAGGACACTTCCTCCAAGGTGAGAACCTAAGGGTAACCTTCGTTTGTGCAGTTGGCAGACGCCACACCTCCTGTCACTGGAGCTGCTGCCGAGCAGGCAGCACACTGAAGGCTCAGCTTGGGTCCACAGGCTTTTAAAATGTTTAGACATGTTTGTCAGAGGTGTCTGACCATGGAACTTGCTTTTCCTTGAAATATCTAGTAGATTAGCAAGAAATATTTATGTGCTGGTGGCACAGTCTTCGTATCATGCAAAAAGTCCCCACTGTACCAGCTTGGGAAGTTTATAAACATGTAATTCATTTCCCAGAGGACTTGTAGGGTAGCTGGATGCATCGTTTTTGCGATCAGAAAGTCTGTCAGCTTTGCTCATGCCCACACCGCTCACCAATTTTAAAAGAAAATTACAATTCACCCAAACCACCTCGCACTGCTAATAATATCAAAGTTTGCAAAACACATTCCTGAAATATAAACACTAATATTCGTCAGGAAAATAAGGTGACTCATATCCAAAGCGTTCAAAAAGTTCAGTCACACCTCCACGTTTCAAAGCAAATAAAAACCCCGGGAACACCCTTCATATCAGTTAGTACCCGTGATGTTATCAAAAGTCATAGTTTCTGCTGCATGTTCTCTCGGCTCATCTCACAGCAGCGCGTAGCTGGCACTGTCTGACTCAGAGAGGGTTGATCCCTTCACCTGACTCATGGCTGTAAGAGCACCTGCCAGCCCAACATTTCAGGAGCTTCACTATTTTTGCTAAAGTTTTGGGATAAAAAATTCTTTACTCAACATTCTTTCCCTCTTGCTTGCCTGTACAGCAGTAAAAGAAAACTGCATGGCTTCACAGCTAGATATGCCCTTTTGTCAATGCTGGCAGGGAAAAGGAGAACAAGAGTGGTTGTTATGTTTTTTTGCAGCAAAACAAGAGGATTAAGAGAACTTCAGACTACATGAAGAGAAATACTACAGGACAGAACTAAGACCCAAGCAATGCCTATCCACCCCGAACACTGCATTTCTCCGAGCTGCCCTGACCCTTCAGAGCAGCGTGTGGGGCTCCCGTCCCCTGGTATCTGTTGGGACATTTTACAGACCAAGACTTAGTTTTAATATTCCAGGAAAGTTTATGACTTGAAGACCATTCCAAGGTTATCAGAGGACAACGCCATGGTTACTGACAATGTCCCAACTCCAGAGAAAGGATCAGGAAGCTGAATCAGTTACCAAAGCAAAGTCACAAGGTGGCTGGTATCTCTGCTTGCATTATCCATTATGTTTATTATCTGTACCTTCTTTCCTTCAGTTAGCAAAGATAATCCACTGGAGTTAACACTCCTGATTTCCAAATGGGAGAAAACGGTCCTAAAATGTGGATCTCTCCGTTGCCTGGTCCTGCTCACAAGCTCTCACCCACCGCTGGAAGCTTTGAGGCACCATGAAAGGAAACACTGCTTCAAAACTCTTCCAAACACTTGAAATGGTCAAGATGACAAACGTCTTATTCAACCCATTAAAAAACAAGTGTATCAACAACATACATTAAAGAGATAGACACTGACTATTAGGTCACCAACAGCTCTGGCAGTGGCCCACAGCACACTCGGGCATGGCTTCAAGATGCTGCCATCCGACCTCTGAGACCTGGCTTACCACTAACAGCACAGTATGGCGGCTCAACACTATCACTCAGTTGAGGCGGTAGGTCTGTGCAAGATCAACCAATCCTGAAAGTCACAGAGGATTACCTTCATTGCTCAGGCTGGAATCCCCCCCCCCCCCACCGCCTTTGACCAAGATGTGGACCATCAGCTGGATTTTAACCGGACACAGTATCAAAGTGGTTTCCTTCAACTCCCACAAACTGCATTCTTCACAGAAACGCCACAAGCAGGTTCAACCACTGACAGAAACACCAATCGCTACTGTGTTGCCAGAGGAAAAGCTCCATGGAGCTCTTAACCCTTTAGCTGATGCAACTTCCATTGGCTCTACTGGCTCCCCAGGACTGCCCACAACCACATCTCTACACCTTAATGAAACAGAACACTTTCTGAAACTAACAGCGATCCCGACAGTTCTGAAGTCACAAGCACTATTTAAAAATGATGCTAAAAAAACAGATGCAGACAGTCTGGATGCAAACTCGCATTACTAGGTTTGCTCCACTCATCTCCCACCCGGGGCTCCAGGGAGATCCCGACGCAGCCGCACTGTGCTGAGCGCCCCGCTTCCGCGGACCCCCAGCTCCCTCAGAATCGATGCTGGAGCAGGATTTTCGGAAGCGGATCTGCTTTTCTCCTTTGCTGCGGTTCTGGCTTCTCAGTCCTCTCGGAAATGCTCCCGGGCCTGGGCCAGTGCCCTGCTTGGCATTTTATAGTGCCCCAAGTAACTCTGTAAAAAGCCTTTGGTCATTAGCGAGCTCAGCTAGGAAGTCATCACCTCCCTGGGGCTCCCGCAGGCCACTTCCCAGAGATCCGGGCCGGAGCGCGCTCCTGTGGCCAGAGCTCTCAGGAGACGGGCGGGCTGGAGACGGGGGCTGCCGCTCACGTCCGGACCCCAGCCCCAAGCCCAAGGCGGAAGGCGCTCGCCACAGACCCCCGCAGGGGAGTCCAGAACCAGCTTCCACTGGGGCAGGTGGCACCAAAGCGGGCGCCCTGATCGGGTCTGAGCGCTACCTGGACGGAAGGTGATCGCACTAATTTCCCCGACGAGACGCACACCAGCGCCGCAAGCAGAGCAAACCAGGCAGGAAGCAGTCTGTTTTGGGGCGCTGATCGGTTCCCCCACCCCACAAGGAGGTAACGGGGCGAGACACCATGGCGATCCCGAGAGCCCCCCCACCCCAGCCCGGCCCGGCTCCGGACCGGCCAACGGCTCCCACCCTCGGTGCACCCTGGCTCGCAGCTCCCATCCTCGGAAACAAGAAATCAAACGCTCGAACGGCGCCCACTCCAGCCCCCCGCGCCTGGAGCCGACACGCGCGCGCTCCCCCCTCCCCGGTCTCCGACCCCCAACCTCCCAGACGCCGGGGCAGCTCGGGCCGCGGCCTCCCCCAGAGCCCGGCCTCCCGAGCCCGCCGCTCCGCCCAGCCCGGGGCCCCGGCGCACCTTGCTCTTCACCTCCATGGTGCCCAGGCAGCCGCTGCCCGCGCCGTGCCGGTGGCTGCGGTTCATGTCGAGCGCCGGGCCCCGAGGCGGCCTCCTCGGCACCGGCCGCCCCTCAGGAGCGCAGGGGGCAAGTGTGCGGCGAGCGCGCGGGATCGGAAGGCGGCCTCGGCCCCGGCGGCCCCGCACAGGCACCTGCAGAGAGGGCGGCCGCGCTGCGCCCGGCTGACTGCTCACGCGGCCGGACCGAGGGTCGGACTGGCGGCGCGGCGGGCGGGGACGCGGCTCCCTCCCTCCGGGCCCTCGGCGGCGGCGACAGCGGCGAAGGAGGAGGAGGAGAGGGCGGAGCGCGGGCCCCCGGCGCCGCAGCCTCGCTCTCGGCCACCTCCCCCGCGAGTTTGCGCGCGCTCGCCGACGCGCGTCCCCGAGCCAGGCTTGCGCCGCGGCGCGTGCGCGCGCTCACCTGCGGCTGCCGAAGCCGCTTCGGCTGCTCGCGCTCCGCCCACGCCCAATAGGAAGCGCGCACCTGCGCCAGCGGCGCCAACCAATCCGAACACGCCTCTTGTGGCGCATGGGCGGGCCTCCCTATCGAAGTCCGGCCCACCGCCGAGCGATTGGTCTTGTGCTGCGGGGGTGGGGCGGGATTACCTGAAGCCCGAGGCCGCGCCCCCACCCTCGGACTCCGCCGGAGGTCTAGAGAGCGCATGCGTGGGATCCGGAGTTTCCGCCCCGGCAAGGCCGGCCGGAAGCGCGAGCGCACCTGAAGAGGGATGCCGGCGGGTGAGCCTTTTGCGCACGCGCGGACGCACGCCTTGGTGCTGGCCGCCGGTGGTTGCTGTGGAGCGGTGGCTGTGTCTGTGTCAGGGTTCCCCACCGTCACTGTCGCTTTGGGTTGTACCGCCTTCCACAACGCCCTCTCACCACCGACTTGCGTTACTTAGCGTCCAACAACAGCTCCTCGCTAGCAAAATTTTAAGTTTTCCCGCCTTGAAGCGGTTACCCCAGGGAGATCCTCCTGGCTCTCGGCTGGGCTTGGCCGGAGAAGGCTGCGAACCGCCCTCACCTCAAGAGTTTGTCACGTCCCCGGGGCTCGGGTGGGCACTGTGGGGGACGTAAAATGGCCTAAGGCCCGAGAAAGATCCTTGCGAGTTCAGGCTCCCTAAGGATTTCTAGAAACTACTCTTCAGGGCGTTATTCTTTTCCTCCGTTTTCCGTTTTATAAGACCTCTAGAGTCTCCCTCTCCACCGTTCCATTTCTCGGCCATGTGCCTTTTGCACTAACTCCAGCCCCTGGGTTGTGCTTGTTGCCTGAGTGACCGAGCTGTATCCCGGAGAAACGAGGACGCCCGGGGCAGTCCCTCCTCCCTCGGGTCCCTTTTGGAGCACCTTGGCCCTGGAGAGGCGCAGAGGAGAGCCCCAGGGGTGCTAACCTGGGGTGTTAGACCCCCCAGACCCCTCCCGGCGCCTGACCCTACTCCCTCCCAGCTCACTAGGCAGCTTGCATTACTTAATACGTTCAGGGGCGCGGGTGGGGGGTGGGGGCAGTGCATGAAAGTTATGGAAGGCAGGGGACCCTTTCCACGGTGCTTGTCTTCCCGCCCTGGCTCGGAGCTACCCTCGCGTTGGCAGGCGCCCAAGGTGGCCTTGCTGGTGCCCCAGCTGACCGGGTGTTTTCTGCAGGCAGTATGCCCCAGCTGGGTCCAAAGGTGAGGAATTCATTGTCTCTCTCCGGGGAGCAGCCCGGTGACTGTACAGGTGGAGGGAAGTGATCCCAAGCTGAGTAAGGCTGCCCTCTGACCCCTTGCTGGAAAACACCTACTGTGTCGCTCAAGCTCTCCAGGGCAGCTGCAGACCTGAGCTCTCTGGCTCTTAGGGGCCCTTCAGGCCATGAAAACTGAAGAACCGTGAAAGTGTTTTGAGTGTATGTGCTTTGTCAGTATTGATGGCATTTAAAGGAAAGGTGTCAGGGCCGGCGAGGTAGCCTAATGGCTAAAGTCTTCACCTTGCACGTGCTGGAATGCCATATGGGTACTGGTTCTAATTCTGGAGGCCCCACTTCCGATCCAGCTCCCTGATTGTGGCCTGGGAAAGCAGTGGAGGACAGCCCAAAGCCTTGGGACCCTGCACCCGTGTGTGGGAGACCCGGAAGAGGTGCTCCTGGCTTCAGATCAGCTCAGGTCCAGCTGTTGTGGTCGCTTGGGGAGTGAATCATCAGACAGAAGATCTTCCTCTCTGTCTTTCCTCCTCTCTGTGTATCTGACTTTCCAATTAAAAAAAAAAAGGTGTCTGAAGCAGAGACTACCTAACCACACACTCCGCTGTCATCACAATGATGATGTCATCACTTGACACGTTCATTGCTTCCAGAAGGCTCCATAGTGGATGTAAGTAAGGGATGGGAAGCACAGATGTCACAGAAGTATTGTGAAAATAAGCTTTGAGGACCCCTCCTCCAAAAGTCTTAGGGATCCACCAGGAGTGCATTTCTGGGAGTGCATGTTCAGGGATGGCCCTCTCCCCCCAACCCCTCATTCCCCCACTCCCGTGGCAGCTGGCAGGGCCCCAGCTCTGAGTGAGCCAGCAGTGGGTGGCTGAGCTTTATTGCTGTTACGGGTCCTGATGTAGCAGGACTTTTTTAAAAGGAAGTTGATGGGTGCCAGCACACCTGCGTGGGCCCACATTCCTGGAGGTGTCGTCACATCCTCTCCCCTCCCCCGGGTGTGGCATCCCTCTTCTTCAACTTTCCTTTCTGAGAGGGAGGGCCCCAGCCAGGGCTTCCTGGAGCAGAATTTGCTGTGAGGCCTGCATCAGCTGTGTGCCTGGGTCGTGTAAGGAAGGAATGTGGGAAAGGGATTGAAAGTGATAAAGGTGTAGTGGGGGAGGGGAGCCGCTAGGCCTGAATTTCAACCTTTCCCCCAGGAGCATGTGTGCGAGGACGCAGTAGTTCACTGAAGGATTTCTGTGTCTGCTCTCCCTGTTTGAAGACTGGCCCTAATCTTCTTTCTTGCCATCGTCTCTCCCCACCCCCAAATCCTCAAGTTAAAGCTGACCCAGACCGCTGTGTGTGAAGAAAAGCTGGTCCCACGCCTGGGAGAATTAATGCTCTGTGACTTAGATAAGAAAGGACAGACAATCAATTACAGGTTCACGCAGTTGGCAGCTGGGACTGGGCACTAGAGTGGGTCACACCCACAGCCCAGGCTTCTCACCCTCCCCACTGTCTGAAAGCACGAGTGGGAGCCACGCGCGCCCTCCTGTCTTCCCCAGGGTTTGTCAGATCCTCAAACACCCAGCTGTGTTCCTGCAAAATCTAGCGTGCAAGGTGGAGAAAGTTTGTCATCTTGTACCATCAGTTTCTCAGTTTGTATCTCATGGAGTGGTGCTTCTCCCTCCATCTCTCAAGAAAGCAGTGAGAAGTCACAGATAATGCACAGGAGATGTAGGGTGTTTGTTTTTCCCGAGGAATGGCCCTTGCTGCCCTTTTTTCCCCTTGATTGCTGAAGTTCCCACTTAGAGGGAGCTGGTTAATAATTCTTGGAAAAAGAACCAAAGTGTATATTTGTGAATCTCGAGCGATTCACCCAAGCATTTTAAGCCCTTTAGCAGAGGTGGAATGAAGTCACATGACCTGTTTTCTGGTTAATAGCTTATACTTGATTACTTTGGGGGGCTGCCCACAGCTAGAGAAAGGAATGAATGAGTTCCTGCAGTCTTTAAGGAGTTGGATGCCCTTTCTGGTAAAAACCTACCTTCCTCAGGGGCAGTGTGCGCCAGGCACAGTCCTGACTTTGCTCTTGGCTTGGTCCAGCCACGAGTTTGCTTCTGACCTTTTTTCTCTCTGTGGCGCAGTGTCTGCTTCTGTACACACAGACACGGGTGACATCATCGCCGCGGTTCCTTCTAGCTCTTGCCATTCTATGGTACCCCAGGGAAAGTGGAGGTTGCTCATTAGTCCAACACTCCCAGGGATGAACTGGGAGCCGTCTTCCTGTCCGGGTCTGTAGCCAGGCTGCGGTCGGCTGTCAGAGCATTTCGGCTCCCAGGAGGTGAGGAGGAAGACAGTGGCAGTTAATATACAGACCTGGCAGGTGCCAGGAATGGGGCTAAGTGCTTTTCCATGCATAAAGTTACTTAATTTTTGTTTTAGAAGTTTTTTTGAATTGTTTTAAAAGGCCGAGTTTCAGAAGAACTGGGAGAGACAACGATTGGAATCTTGCATCCATTGGTTTACTCCCCAGATAGCTGCAGTGGCCAAGGCTGGGCCAGGCTAAAACCAAAACTCTGATCTCTAACTGGGTCTTTCTCATGGGTGGCAGGGGCCCAAGTATTTGAGTCATCACCTCATGTCTTCCCAGCACATTAGCAGCAAGCTAGATCAGAGATGGAACAATCAGTACTCAAACCAGCTTTCATATGGTGCTGGCAGACAGCTGCTTAATCTATTGTATCACAACAACTCTGCCCTCTAAAAGGCTTTTTTTTTTTTTTTTTTTTGGTGTGTATTATTTCTTAGATTCATTTGTTTATTGAGAGGCAGAGTGACAGAGATCTGCCTGCTGCTTCACTCCCCAAAGGCCTGCATCAACCAGGGCTGGACCAGGCCCAAGCCAGCAGTCAAGACTGTCCCCTGGGTATTCCACATGGGTGGCAGGGCTCCAAGCACTCGGCCAGCATCTGCTGCCTCCCATGCATATTAGCAGGAAGGTGGATTGGAAGCATGAAGCTGGTATGGACGTTGGGTATTGTAAGTGGGAAGGTAGCTTGCTGTGCCCCAATGCCGGCTCCTTACTTAGTTGCAAGTCGCATGAAGGAACTTTGAGCTTTTTTGGGGGGGAGGAGACACTCTGATATTTTAAAAAAGATTTATTTTTGAGCCTGGTGCAGTGACCTAGCAGCTAAAGTCCTCATCTTGCCAGGATCCCATATGGGCTCTGGTTCTAATCCCAGTAGACCCGCTTCCCAGCCAGCTCCCTGCTTGTGGCCTGGGAAAGCAGTCAAGGATGGCCCAAAGCCTTGGGACCCTGCACCCATGTGGGAGACCAGGAAGAGGCTCCTGGCTCCTGGCTTTG